GACGACGATCGTGATTGCGCACCGCCTCTCGACGATCCGGAACGCCGACAAGATCTGCGTCGTGAGCGGCGGCCGCATCGCAGAGCAAGGCACACACGACGAGCTCATGCGTCTCAACGGCATCTACACGCGACTTAGTTTGCAGAGATAGATCCAAGTCTCAACACAATCTAATCGACTACCATACCATTGATTTGTATTGAGTTGTACAACAGTCTGCAGAAGATAGAGGCTTTATCGTATTCTTGGTTGGAGCAATTCTTAAAGCAATGAGTTGGTGCCTTCGTGGACCCAGTGGCGGACACCCAGGTTTGCTCTCGCCCATAGTCTGCTCGTGTGGCTCACCTCGGCGCTATTGGCTACGCTGACTCCAGTCCAAGCCACCATCTCAGTCGACCCCATTTGTTCGTCTGTCTCGCTCGACCAACAAGTACAGTGTGTGGTGGGCACTGTCTACATTGGATCTGTGGCGCGGCTACTGCTACTGATTGGGGTCGTCGTCGGCTGCAACGGCGTCTGCTACAGTGTCGCTCGCCGGCGCTTCCCGCACGATACGGGCGTGCGGTCGCCCTCGCTCCTGCTCTGCAGTGGTGCCACGTATCTCTTGAAACACAACTTCGTTTTAAGATACTTCGTTCCTTAGGCTAGGTAGAGACCAGCGAGAGACAGTTTCTTGCAGCGATGACGTGGCAGTCTACGACGCAAGCGTCGTTTCAGACGAAACCGCCAGCTTCGGGTGGCCGTTAGTTGAGACAGCAATCGTGCCTCTTGGAACCGACGGGCTTCTAACATCATGCGTGTCCATCCGGCAGGGGACATGACGTCGATCCGGCGCTCCTTTGTGCCTCTTGTCGTGGCCAGTCTTTGGTTCGTAGCAAGTGTGGCACTCAGCTTTCACTACCTCGGTGTTGTGCAGCCACTGCTTGCTAGCGACCTTCTCTGGCTCGATTACAATACAACGGGGTATCAGGCGTTCGTCATTGACCTGCTCAATCAAGTACTCGAGACCGCCCCCGACGCGTCCACCGTCGATATCGGCGCGGTGGCCATCGAAAGATCGTACGCACTTCCGGTGATCGAAACCATCGTCCACCCAACGTATGCAATGTCCCTCTTGACGGCCAAGCTTACTGGTTTGGACTACGCGATCGCGAGTCTTCGCAACACCACTATCGAGAAGCTGCTCTCGCTTCCAACGCAGTACTGCTATGTCGACTTTGCCCGAGTCTTTGAGATGGCCCACACGGCAGAGCGCCAAGCTCGATGCAACACCCAGTATACAGCCAATGGTGCCGTGTATCTTGACGCCATTTTGCGCAACACGGACGGGCACGTATTTCTCAAAGCGTTTGGCGGCCCCAACAGTCCCTTGTCAGTGGCTCTACTCCACGACCTTGAAGCCTCAACTGTAGGCCAACTCTGGTTACAGGCAGTCGCGTCGGTGGCCACAACCGTATCCCAAGAAGCTTTTCTGTGGCAGTCGCACGGTATCACCAACTTTCGCTACCAGTGGCAAAATCGGCATCTCCCGGGCTTGGTCGAAACGGCGACGCTCGTCAACGCGCTTGGGCTCATCGAGTCCGTATCGCTTAAGAGTATCGCATACAGCGAGGGTCCCGGGACGTCAAGTGTCTTTAGCAGTGCGTTCTCCTTGGGTGTCGAGTACGCTGGTCACTGCAACAAGAGCCTTCTCCGCAGCACGTCTGAGCATGCTTGGAAAGGGCCGTGTGCTACCTTGGAGAGTTATGCGACCAAATTGCCTCTTACCATTCAACAGACTTTGCTCCGGAATGCTCTTGGACCATTCTTCACGATCGACCTCTACGTTGTCCCGCCGCCCCGCTCTCTTGTCTCACTTGCGACAGTCCTGTCGGCGACGATCTTGGATGCACTCGACGACACGACCGCCGAGGCTTTTCATTCTATTGAAGCACTCTTTGCAACTCCAACACCGCCAGCTTGGTCCATGAACGATCTTGTGTTTTATGGCGGGAACCCGTTTTGTCTCGATGGAGCGACGTCAAATATGTACTCACTTGCATCATTTTTAACCACGGATGCGTGCCTCACGCCCATCGGCTCGTATGTGTTTATCGATTCGCGACCCATGCTCATGGCGCTTGCGCTTGTCAACGACTCGATCGACAGTATTTGCGCGCTGAGTGCTTCTATGTCAGACTGGTGCTCGTCGTCGCTGCACCAAGCGACCGTGCTCCACCCAAAGTTGCATGTCGATCCACACCACGTGCAAGCCGCCATGACCGCGCTTTCGAGCCTCAATGTGGGACTCGTTCAGTTTGCCTCGGATCTCAACCAAACCGCATGGATGCTGCTGGTGCAGCCCCTTTTAGAGCCGCCATTTTCCTTCTATGGCTGGACCCTGCTCTTCGAGTGGGTGGCGGGCGTCCGTGAGGTTGTGTCACTTGAAGGTGATACGGGAACGCTTGTTTTGATCTCGGAGGCATACGATACGATACCAACGACTTCTCCGGCGTCTCGTTCGTTGAGCCGCGCTTCCATGGGTGTCTACTACCTTGTCGTGTATATGACATTGGTCATGAGTGGATTGGCTCTAGTGTGCACGCTGTTTGCTATCGCGCACCGACAGCATGAATCCGCCATGAACATTGTCTTCTTCTGGCGCGTTGCGGCGTCCACGTGGCTGGGTCGCCCCCTGCTTCTATTGCGAGGCATGGTAGCAATCGTGTTGCTCAGCTCAGCGCCGATCCGCATCACCCGCTCACACAATCTGTACACGCAGCTTGAGCTTCCGAACCGATCGGCCGTCGAGACCTGTGCCTTGTCGTGGGAGGCCACCTACGTCGGCTACGTTTTTCACGAACTTCTTTTGCCGCTGACACACCGCGGTGCGCACGCGGCTGCGATCTTGAGCACAAGTCTACTGACCCTTGTGTACATACTTGTCGCTATGTTCTGGCCCGTCTCTGTTGTGACCTCGATTGAGCGTGTCTGTGCTCCGCAAGACGCTACTGGTGTCATTAGCATTAGCTGCATCAGTGCTACCGTCGCCATTGGAAGCGGCCACCGCCTCTTGCTTTTGGTAGCTCTTGCCTGTAGCATGATTGTGCTCTTGACGGTTTTCTGCCGTTGGACTAAGGATACTGTGCTGGCTTCGCAGACATCGCTGCTTGTGCCTGGTTCAGGCCTTGCCTTCTTCAGTCAGCGCCATGAAGTACTGACAGGCGGAGCAGAAGGCATTTGCATGGGTCTCATCCATGGACGAAATGGGCTCATCTTTGACGTCAAGTTGTGGACTCTCATTCGACCGACGACTCTCGACTCACTGTCGCCCGTCTTGCCCTTTTATGGCCCTTCTACTGTCAGTGCCCCGAAATCTGGACCTCGGGAGTGTTTCCGAGGCATTTGGCGACGGAAGGCGTTGTTTTGGCTCCTGGCTGGTGCACTTTACGTCAGTCTGGACATTAGCAGCAGTATTTCATACCTCGACGTTGTGGAATCCACGCTCCAGAATGACCTCATTTGGCCTCGCTTTAGCATGGCGGGGTCGCATGTTTTGCTGGCCAACTACCTCAAAGAGCAGTCGCAGCTGCGTCGTATGGACACCACGCTCGATCGCATTAATGGTCTTGGCGCGTTCGATGCCGCGCACGCAACGCTTGTGTCGCCAATACAACAAGGCGCAAAAGTCCAGTACGCGTCCTTGACCTCACTCCACGATGCTATCTCGGGACTGCGCAACGTCAGCAGCGCTACTGGTGTAAACGTTTTCTCCCAGTATTGCTACCTCGACTTTGAACGAAAATGGGAAATGGCCAACTCGATCCGGCGCCAAAACCGATGTGAATCGATGGTTCATAACGGCGCTGTCTTCCTCGCCTCGCTCTTGCGGAACGTCAACATCACCAAGGATTGGGCTGCAGAATTTGAGATTGCCTTTGCGTCCGACCTGCGGCATTCGACCGCTGGCCAAGCTTTTCTGTCGACCATCTACCCGCCGTACCTCGAGCTAGACGACGAGGTCGCGTATTGGTCGTCCAAGAACATCACCTCGTACAAGCTCCAGTGGCAAAACTACAAGTCAATCGGGTTTGCCAGCTCGTATCAAATGGTGAATGCGTATGGCGCAGCCTACGCCTTCACGCTAGAGTCCACGGTGAGCGTTTTCCGCTTGACAAGTGCAACTTCGTACACGATGTACTGGGCGTTGGACAACGACCTAAGGGGCGTGTCGTCGAACCGGACTCGCATGAGCGGACTTGGCCTTCTACGCGCCAGTAGTCGCTTTGCCTTCCAAAACATATCACTGCAAGACGTGTTAATTGAAGATGGGTATTTGCCGCAACCGCCATGGAGTGCCACGTACGACCTCGTGGCGTCGCATCTCGGTCCGTTTGGGTCCATCGACATGGTGTTCGTCCCGCCACCTTTCGTGCTGCGTCAAGCGATCGCTGCCTTCAATCGCGTCATGGCAGACGCCCGACAAGCGCACACGGCGGCTTACATGAGCATCCCGGCCACGCACGCCGTGCAGCCTGCGCCACGCACATGGAAGCACGTTCTCTGGGCCGTGGCTGGCTCGCTATTGTGTCCTGACCAGCCGGCCATCCACCTCGTTCGCCTCGAAACGCTCACGGGTGCCGATCGCTACGACGCTACGTGCACCGACAGTCGCCAACGTGTTGGTCTCGTGCCATCCCGCAACCAATATCTCTTTGCAACGTCCGTGGCCAACCTCTCAGCATCAATGACCGACGTCGCTGCACTCTGCGCACTCGACAGTAATCTCTCGACGTGCATGGATGGCGTCCAGAAAAGTGTTGCGTTCCTATCGCTGGTCCCCCGACTTCCGAACGATCGTCAAACGTTGGTTGATGCCGTGGACGATCTGTTCATTGAATGGGTGCAGTTTGGTCAAGAGAACGAAGCGGCTTCCGTGGCGCTGTACCATACACGGCTGCTCGACCCGTCAGATGCGAGCTTTGACTACTTTGCTTGGCTCTTCTTCTACGATTGGGTGCTGGGGCGCCGTGAAGTCATTTCGTTTCAAGGGGACCGCGGCACGCTCACTGTCATGGGCGACACGCTACCCGACCAGATGCACGCTGTGGATGCCTCGCAGGTACACACCGTCTTTGCCCTCTACGCGCGGTATGCGGTGCAGTACGTCACAAGCTCCATCTTGGCGCTCGCGATGCTCTCTCTTGTCTACTTGGTGTTAGCAAAAGGCGCGATTGAAGGGCGCAATCTCCTCAAGCTCAGTCGCATCGGTGGCTTTGTCTGGGTCGGACGGCCCCTCATTGGCCTTCGCAGCATCACCGCCCTCGGTCTTCTCTCAACGGCCTCCATCGAGCTTGTTACCGCTGACCAGCTGAGCTATTTCGCACCGCGACCGATCCCTTGGTACACGACGTGCCTCGCCGCCAACGAAGTCACGTGGCTGGTCAATATCGTGAGTGACTTGATGCTTCCGTGGACCCAGTGGCGGACACCCAGGTTTGCTCTCGCCCATAGTCTGCTCGTGTGGCTCACCTCGGCGCTATTGGCTACGCTGACTCCAGTCCAAGCCACCATCTCAGTCGACCCCATTTGTTCGTCTGTCTCGCTCGACCAACAAGTACAGTGTGTGGTGGGCACTGTCTACATTGGATCTGTGGCGCGGCTACTGCTACTGATTGGGGTCGTCGTCGGCTGCAACGGCGTCTGCTACAGTGTCGCTCGCTGGCGCTTCCCGCACGATACGGGCGTGCGGTCGCCCTCGCTCCTGCTCTGCAGTGGTGCCACGTATCTCTTGAAACACAACGACTGGATCCAAGACAACGTGTACTACATGGATCGCGCGTCGGCTGCGCTAAACGGGCTCCTGAGTGTGCAATGGCGCAGCGATACGTTCTACGTGCTCGACGTCAAGGCGTGGCGATTGCATCGACTAGCCCATGCCAAGGGGACCCTCAGTAACGACGCTCGCCTGCGTCGCGCGTTGCCCTTGGCAGCGACGATACATCCATAGCTTGTCCGACTTGTCTCTTTCAAAAGTACACTGGACACGAGCGAAACCAAATCCAGTTAATATACGAGGACCGGTATGTTGAGTGCTCGTAGAAGCACCCGGTCGTGCAGTGTGGCACGGGTTGGCATCACGCCGACATCTGCAGCGATGACGCTACATCGATAGGCAGCAATCGGGAGTTCACCCCGCATGCATTCCGTCCCATGATCGTGGTAAGAGTTGGAAGAACCACCAACGCTCTCGTTGTCGGCGCCCAACGACGTTCGTCGCGCCATCTGATCCTGCTTGTGGACGGTTAGCTAATCGTTGAGGACGCAAGCGATCCTTGTACTGACTGGTATCGTCGTTATAGCACCCTCGCGCTAGCGCTAGAAGCTCCATTCTAGGCTCTTGCTACACTGGCATCCGATATCTATGCAAGCAAGGGTATCGAATTAGGGGCCAAGTGCGTGGCTACTTGGACGACCGTTGGCATCACGTGGCGTCTAGAAAGGGCAATCGCGCTGATCATTGCAGCCAGATCGGGACCATAAACTTCGGATTACACGCTTCGAAACCATTTACCTCTCAACATCCATATATTGAAATCGCATACGAACTTGTTATTTGTAGTCTTCAAACCTTCCAGAATAGATATATTGACCGTGTCATGCCCAAACGCAGCTCGAAGTTCAAGAACGAAGCATTGGCGATCTTCCGCAAATGGCAACTTGGTTGCCATTCTCACATTGGCAGCATGGACGACAAGCAGCCGGACGCCAAGGACAACTACCACGTCGTCGAGACGCCGCGTGACGGCAAGGACCCGGCGATCGAGGTCGACGCCAAGCCCACGCCGGACGACGACGCCAGCGAGCACGCGTTCTCGTTCTTTGCGCTCTACCGGTACGCCGACAAGACGGACGCGGTCCTGATGGTCATTGGCATGGCGCTCTCGATCGTCAACGGCGTCGTCTTCCCGCTCATGGCGATCCTCTTTGGGAATGCCATCAACTATTTTTCCCCATATGACCAAGATGGCATCAACGAGACGTGCCTCAACTACCTCATCCTCGCGATCGTCATTTTCGTCGCGGGCTACGGCTCGTACACGTGCTTTGCGATTACGGCCGAGCGCCAAATGCGGTCGCTGCGCCGCGAAGTCCTCAAGCACATCATGTACCAAGAGATTGGGTGGTACGACCAGCGCGACGCCAGCGAGCTCGCTTCGCGCATCTCCGGCGATACCGTCAAGATCAAGGAAGGCATGGCGTCCAAGCTCGGCGAAGCCGTTCAGTTCACGTGCCAGTTTGTCAGTGGGTACATCATTGGCTTTGTCAAGGGCTGGAACGTCGCGCTCGTCATGTGCGCGGTCATGCCCATGATGGCGATCACCATGACGTTCCTCATCAAGCGCCTCCGCGACTCGACCGCGCAGAGCCAGCGCGCGTACGCCGCCGCCGGTGCCGTCGCCGAAGAGACCATCGGCGCGATCCGCACGGTTGCGTCGCTCAACGGCGAGCCGCGTGCGGTCAAAAAGTACGACGAGATCGTGCACAAGGCCGAGGCCGAGACGCTGGGCCTCGCGCGCTTTGTCTCGTTTTCGTTTGGCTGGTTCATGATGAGCATCTGGCTCACGTACGCGATCGGTCTTTGGTTCGGTGGCTACCTCCTCTCGGACCAGAACGACGCGATCCGGACGCCGGGCTCTGTCTTCTCGGCCTTCTACGGCATTCTCTTTGGTACGATGGCGGTCTCGCAGATCTCGCCCAACATCTCGGCCGTCGCGTCGGCAAAAGGCGCCGCCACCGAGATCTTCAAGATCCTCGCGCGCCCGTCCAAGATCAACGCGGCCAACCTCGAGGGCGACGTGCCACCGTACTGCAACGGCAAGGTCGAGGCTCGCGATCTCGTGTTCTCGTACCCGACGCGCCCAGAAGACATTGTCCTGCGCGGCTACTCGCTCACGATCGAACAAGGCCAGACGGTCGCGCTTGTCGGCTCGTCCGGCTCGGGCAAGAGCACGCTTGTCGCCCTCCTTGAGCGCTTTTACGAACCCACGAGCGGCCAGATCCTCCTCGACGGCCGCGACATCTCGTCGCTCCAGCTCAAGTGGCT